CTGTTCCAGGAAGCCCCGGACTCTAACCATGATGTAGTCTAATGACCTACAGGCTATTTAAGAGGGCAAGTATATCTAAGTTAGTAATCAAAACATTGATCCATTGTAGGCTGAATTCCTGGGATTCTCAATTTTTCATCGTCTCCAGACCATGGGTGATCTGCATCCCCTTTCCAATTACTACATCAGTGAGCAGCATAAACCATCAAAAATGGATAAGAAAATGTAACGCTTTTAGCTAGAGCCCATGGGAACAAAGTGTAATGATTTGCTGTGCCTTTCACAGCACACTCTCTGCTGTGCTGCCAGGGAGAAATGTACAGATCCTTAAATAAAAGTAAATAATAGATAATGTCGCAGGTGATAGCCCTATAAATAGATGCCTGTCCTCGTTTATGACTTGAAATTTAATTTCTTACACTCTACTCACTGCACCTAATTGCTCTGTAGCAAGGTTTATGCTCCACACCCAGCTACTCTCAAAGTCACTTATTTCCATGGTTAACTTTTGAATAATTATCTATTCCTGTAATGCAATCTGCATACAGGAATTTATGACATTTTTCAGTACTGTTCAGTGAGAATCTCATTTTTGTTCCTATATATGCATGAAATGTTTGGGGAGCAAATTACATTTCTCACTGTGATTGAGTCCTGTGGAGTTATTTGTCTAGGTACCAGCTAGAGGCTCTAAATATTTGTTGGAAGCAAATTCCATTTAGATTTGCAATTTGTGAACCTAATTTTGTTGCAGTTCTAGAAAAAAATTACTCATTTGAAATTAATATACACAGTCTACACAGTCATAAATGTTACTACTCAGTAAGAATGAAACTGGCATTGGCATAAAGAATTATAATTATTTTCTTCCTTTTATGGCTTACATTAATTTTTTAATTTGGTTTTTTTTTTTTATTTTTTTGGTTATTAAGGCTGTGGAGATTGCACTCAAGTATTTTCTTCAGGGACAATCCTAAAGTATTTAATTGCCTTTTGTTTTTAATCTGCGATTCTCACTAGTTCCTCCATCTGCAACAGATAGTGCATGAAATAGAATACCAGATAACTGCAGGATTTCTAACAAAGGTCACAACAGTTAAATGCACCAGGCTTTAACTGCATGCAAAGCTAGGAGGCATAATGAAGACTGGGAGGCTTTATTCCACTTTAGCCAAAACAGATTGCAAGAAGGACATGAGGAAAGGCTGTGGAAACAAGCCTGTTAAAATCAGTACCTCGAAAAATTATGGAGAGGGTGACACTGGGTGCTAAAGAAAAGCATGTAAAGGACAAGGCAATCATCAGTTTTTTGCAGCTCATTGACTACAAGCTGACAAGTCAGGTACACCTGATCCTCATATTTTATTTCCAACCATTGTTAAATTAAGTACTGAACAAAAAACCAGGTTTTGCCATTTTTATGAAATAATGTTGTTTCAGTCCAACACATGAGTATCTATTATAATTGATTAAATGATAGTGGTCTATTTCTAGGATTCAGTTACTGAACTAATAAAAGAGTGAGATTAAAAAAACCTGTTTGGTTGGGTTTTTTGTTAATTAAAATGCTGAGGATATTAATAGCAACCAGGGACACTGGAGCTTCTCTGTCCCAACATTGCAACAAGGTTACTCTTGATGTAGTTTGGTTTTGATCAATCTTGGCTTCTGCGTTAAGGCAAAATGCCCTCCATCAGCAAGGTTGGATGGAGCTGCAGTGTTGGGGCACATCTTGTGACTTTCTGTTCACTGCCCAATGTCACACAAAGTAAACAGAGAGGGTTACAGTGACCTCTGTTGTTCCTGTTTCTTCCTCACCTGGGTAATAGGTGTTTTAATTATTCACAGCCAATTCAACCAAATGTGTCTCACTGTTGGAAAAAGCTACTTGTTCTTGTTAATTTTTTATTTGGTTTTGGATTTGAATTTATATTTTTATCTTTTAAAGCACCACTTCTTTCAAAGTAATTCTATTTTTTCTGAAAAGTTAGCTGGACTTACTAAGTTTGAATCACATAAAGAATGTTGAATTCTTTTATCTTATGAACTGCCTCTTCAGTGTATTCCTCATTTTCCTTTGTCTTGCAAGTACTAGAATTCAGTGTGTAGTGGTATTAAAAATTTCAAACCTTGAAGACTTACTGTGCCAAACTCAAAAATAATGGAATTTTTTTCCTGAACTTTTGTGGTCTGAGATTCCATAAATTACAATTTTTTGTCCGCCAGAGAAAAGTGTAGTTTGTGTCATGTCAGTGGGACTCAATAATAAGGTGAGTAAAGATGAATTGGCTCCTGCCAAGATGTGCAATTAAATGTCATGATTTTTTTTTTTTCTGTATAGAGAAGAAAATTATTTTCTGTAATTTAAAGTCAACTTTTTGTCTGACTTCTAATATTTGATTTATTCTTGACTGACATCACCATGGTCCTAATTTAATATCTGAAAATTAATTCTATGCCACTGTAATACAGAACTTTTCTACATCTGAAAACAGGTAATCCTGCATTCATGATCAGTTGTCTTCAAAGCCATGCCATAGAGCCATCAATAGATACCAGTGTGAGAAAAGCTAAGCATCTTCCTTTAGCAATAGGTGAACATAAGAGGAAGTGTAAATGGTGGCATAAATCATGACAATACACACCAGAAGAAGCTGCTGTGCAGTAGCACAGCCATGGGAATGATCAGGCAGAGCTGGCAGCCAGGCTGTGCCTGAGACCCCAGCAGTGAAAGCAGAAATCCAGGAAGCAGGGCCCTTAGCTAGGGAAATCTGGGTTTTCTAGGCAGCCCCACACATGCAGGAATTTAGGATATGCTCAACAAAACTACAGCTCATTTGCTCTCTCATTAAAGTAGGGAAAATGCAGTTTCAATTGCCATGAGAGGTACAGCAAGAACAATAGATCCTTGCTGTAGATAACCCAGCTGGGAAGGGAGAGATTTCTTGTTCCTGAGGCAGTTTTCTGTTAGTCCATGATTTTCTAATCTAAAGTACAGAAATAGATCTGTAATACCTGACAGAGGCCTAAGTTTCAAATAAAAAATCTGGATTTTTGCCTTTTGTGCCTACATGAGCTAAATGTTTTTGATAGAGAGGAGCTCTTTAGTCAAGCAGATAAAAACATGAAAAGTGGCAAGGCTAAGAAAGTGAAGGTAATTCAGAGTGGGCTGGGAGCATGAAGAGAGTACTAGATTCTTTGCTTTTAAGTCTAAAGGCTTTCAAGAGCAGTGTCATGTAGGAAATCAGATTAGGTGAGGGATGATGAGAAAGTCTTCCCTGTCTCTAAAGTAGCCTAGACTTAAAGCAAGTTTATAAGTCAGCTGAATTTAGTGGAGTTATTACAGCTGTAAATGTATCTACTCTTTAGGACTGACTTCCCAGTAATGTACAGAAAATATTTTAGTAGACTCTTGTAATAAGGAAGACATTTTCTTCTTCTAAAGTTACCTTTTCCTCACATCCTTTTGCTTTCCTTCCCCCGGAGAAATAAGGAATCCTATTGCAGCAAGCAGTGCTTGCATTTCCCATGGGTCCTTTGCCTACCCAGTTCTGCACTAAGTAATTGCAAGCTGTTGTCAGGATGACAGAAATAGCTGTGCCTGCATCCAGTTAACTCAGATATGAGTCACTGAATTGTAAGGAAAAGAGGAGCAAAATGCTGTGCCTGGGGAGAATATCCCACTGTGCCTGTGTGGGTCTGTGTGTGGGTTTTTTTCCCAGGTAAAGAATTAGAATAGTGCTATTCCCAAGGGAAGTCTCTGACTCACCTCTGCTCCATGACTGGGAAGGAGCTATAGGAGAAGCTGACAGTTAAATGGGGAAAATGGATTACAGCTATGGATTCCCCTGAAGAACACCTTTTCTTTTAGCCCATTTGCTGGGAGTTGGTACCACTCAAAAGCGGAGAATTTCAGCATGCTATGTATCTCAGTGCTACTGTGTAGTTGGCTGTTGCTAATATCAAAGATTAAGAAAAAACTCGTGGAAAGAGCTGGACTGACATTGATCTATTCAGGTTTTTCTTCTTACAGGAGCAAAAGGAAGGGGACTGAAAAGCATTGGTAAATATGATTTTAAAGCTCTTCAAACAAGTTCCTTCTGTCATAAATCCTGGAAGTGGTATCCAGCGTTGTGTCACCAAGAATTTCAAGGATGCTAAAAGGAGAACAAAGCCATAGGCTATAACAAAACCCTCTCCATTGCGTTGTGACTAAGAACCTAATATGTAAAACCATACAGTTTTGAAGAGGGGTTTGGGTACAAAAAGTTGAAAAGGACAATGGAAATATCCTATGACCCAAATTTTAAAGCCTTCCTCTGCAAGATATAATGGGTTTATGACTCATAGGTATGACCTAGGGCTTAATAGTAACCAAAATAATTTTTAAACCTGATTGTGTAATATACATGTAAATAAAGTTGTAACTTACAGTTGTAACTTACTATATCCCAGTCATGATGTGATTGTATGTTTTTTCTGTATATGAGTGGTCAGAACTGAAGGTTCATCTAACTGATGGTGAGAGCAAAAGAAGCAAAAGCTTCTTTCACTTTGGGCCTCCCAGTCTTAAATATGTGGCACTTTTTTTGCTTTTTTTTTTGCCTATAAAAATCCATACACTATTTTAAAATGGTAATGGATTTTAAAAAATGAATAGTTCTTATCAAGGGAATCTTTCACCATTTTATTAGCTCAGATAGAAAATCTATTTCCCCTGAGTAATACTAAAACAAATAAAGCTGAAAACCTGACTAGAAGATTAATATCTGTCAAGTATAAAAATCTTCCAATGTAAGATAAATCTGAGTTAAACAAGATTTGACAAGATGGACAGAGCAACCAGTAGCAGTGAGGATTAACACATAGGGAATAATGGAAATAGTTATCACTGTTACTTAAATATATAATAACCAAAAAATCATCTGCCTACTTGGGATTTGGAATGGATACATGCAAAATAATGGAAGTAAGCATTTATATTGCTTGGTTCATTGCAGGCGTCGTGTCCCTGATCTCGCTGGCTGTGCTGTCCTACGAGCGCTACAGCACTCTCACCCTGTGCCACAAGCGCAGCGATGATTTCCGCAAGGCTCTGCTGGCAGTTGCTGGTTCTTGGATTTATTCCTTGGTCTGGACCGTGCCACCTCTGCTTGGTTGGAGCAGTTATGGGGTAGAAGGCGCAGGCACAAGCTGTTCAGTACGCTGGTCCTCAGAGTCAGCTGAGTCCACGTCCTACATCATCTGTCTCTTCGTCTTCTGCTTGGTTGTCCCTGTGATGGTCATGGTGTACTGCTACGGGCGCCTCCTGTATGCTGTCAAACAGGTAAGCAGCTGCCTGCTCGCATAGTGCAGACTGCTCTCAGGCATGTTCTGCATTTCTATTTTATCAAATTTGGAAATTTCGATGGTAGAGAGAAAATCAGCAAGCCAAAATGAACTTGGAAAGACCACAGAAATCCTCAAGGAAGGAGCATGAGGTTTTCAACAATCTTAATTCTCCTGAAGCTCCCAGTCAAAACAAAGGGATAATATCATACAGATATGGATTTTGTGGTTGGTAATACTTTGGAAAACAGTATATGGGAAAACCAGCATATCAGAGTGAAGTTTGTATTTGTAATGAAGTAAAAATACATGTTTACCTGTTTATGAATTAGACATCCATGCAAATACTGCTTCCTGGTTTTGGAGTATAACATTTAATAATTTCTGCTCCTTAATCTCAGGAATCTTAACTCTACAGTAATGTAATTCAACTGTGACTTTTTGAATTATCCCAAGGATCAACTTCTCCTTGTAATTCTAGGTCATATTTAAATTTTCCTTCTAACTACAACCACCATTACCACTACTACTATTACTACTGCTACTCCTCCTACTACAATGATACTTCTCTCAGTGGTTTAAGGTGCACTGCAGATATTCAAAAATGAAATAAAAGACCCTGAAAAGGGTGTGGTATTGTGAAGTTTGAATACTCTTGGGACAGTAATGAAATGGTTTAATGATGAATGATGAGAGAGGAATTAATGTTTAGGTGTTTTCTATAGAGCAATTCTCTAAAATATTCAGATGAATTAACTAAGGGTGTTAAAAGGAAAAAAAAAAAAAAAGCAGAAAACCCCTGAATTGAGGCTCTCCTACAGAATTAAAATTAATATAGTTTGCTTTGATTAGTCATAAGGAATTAAGTTTGATTGTTTTACACAATTTGTCAAAGCTTTGAGAAGAGTTAAAGCCCAAATGGGAAATCTTACCCTCTTTGAGTACTGAGTGGGCCAGTAAAATCCCTTTTATGAATCACACATTAGTACTCTTCTTAAAAGTTGTGAAATATTAATATGGAAAAAGATTCCTGTGATTGTAAACCATTGAAGTGAAGTATCAGTCCGTATCTGACTTCTGGACAGCAGTTTCTTTTCCCATCACCTCAAAGTAAGAAGCAGGTTCTTGGAATATGTGGTAGTAAAAACATGCAGAAGATACACGTTTCTTAAAATATTGGCTCCTCTTTCCTTCAGTTCTCACTGCTCTTGCTGACAACAGTCTTCATCCACAATATACAGATACTTGTATGGATGAAGCTTCTGTAGCACATACTTTAGCCTCTAGAGCTAAATGTAGACTTGTGTGTTTCTATTAACTTTTTTTTTTAATAAATTCAGTTATATCAAAGACATTCATAATTTCATTGATCTTCCTGATTGGTCTCAACAAATTGTGACAAACATACTGAGGGAACAAAGTATTACATAAATTATATGTGCACTTAATAGCCATTTTGTATTTGGTCATGAAGACTGGGTATACTGGGTGGAATATTAGGTTGATTGATGAACCAACTTTTCAGAGGGAAAAAAAAGAGGGAAGGAAGACCATTTTCCACAATTCTCTCTCCACCATTCTTCTCATGCCTTCCAGAGTGATCTGCAAGCCTGTGGGGTGCTGAGGTAAGAGAATTCTGAGAAATTTTGTAAATGGAGGAAGTGAAAGAAAATTGAACCTGATCTTGCATAACCTGTTGGAGGGCCAGGCCTTAGGGAAGTAATACTTGTTAAATGCAAAGGCAATTCAGTGAGAATTAGATCATATCTTTAAAGTTGCTATGACTAGGGCTCCTAAGAGCTGCCTGAGTATTTGTGAAGTCTTGAATAGCTAAACCCTAAACTTTTACACAAAATTTCTAATGCTTTCCTGGTGCTTACAGAAGATTTTCTTGATAAGTTATATTCACCGAAGAAAATGTCAATCAGAAAACTTTCTAGTCCTTATCTTTCGGTGGTGTACCAGGAGCTATTTTTACCACCATAATCCTAAAACCTTGCATTTCATATTTTTTTTGTGACATATACAAAAATTTCCAATGAATATACTATGACACAGTCACTGAAGTACAGGCTTATTTCCTTTTGGTCTGTACTAAATGGGATAGTTCATGAGATGCTAAAGTATGTAGTTTCAAACTAGAGGAAGAGATTAGCAATATGCAAACAAACATCTAGTAGTCCTTATATAAAAGTATAAAGAGTAGATAGGATCATTTTAAAAAGGTTGAGAGAGTTACATTCATTGTAATTCTATAACTTTCTGGTGTGGATTAAAAAAAAAATAATTATCTTGCCATTTTCTGGCCTTGTAAATTAAAGTCCTTCTGTTAATACCACAGAGGACTGTGGTATGTATTTGAAGAAATATGGGAACATGGCAAACATAGTAAGTGCATTATCCTAAATTCAGCTTCTTGCTACATTTTCTGACTGCATTTCCTAATTTTGCCACCTCTATAGATGTTTTCTATGTTAGAGCATTGAAGCAATAATGGTATTGTACCCAGAAATCAAGAATGCAGGAGTTATGTCATTATTAATAGTGCACTGTAAATTTATTGAGGTGGAAGAGTATCTTAAGATATTTGGGATAGCTAATGCAAGAATTGGCATGGTGCCTTCATTTTTTCTTTGTGTGGACAATGATTATAGGTCTGCCTTTCTCTTTTTCTTCCTAAATTTAGTCAGATGCTGTAGCATTTTGTCACCTGAAGCATTAATAGATCCCATGAAGTCAGCTGTAAGCTGTGTAGTGGCATAATGGATTTCATTAATACAGGTTTTATGAAATATCATCTTTTTAAGGAATTGGAATTCAGTAAGATCCTTGTATAAATTATGTTAATAACAAATGCCATTAAACAGCATTAAAACACAACTCCACCACTATCTCAGAGCTCTTGCCATTTATCAAACTTGAAGATCCTTAGGAATTACATTTTTCTTTAAAGTTATGGGGTTTTCTTTCCAGACTGGCTGTATCTGGATGGTTGAATCTGATCAAAGGGGTAAAGTTTTCTCCCTCACTAAAATTTATTCACATGTATTTTATTCATGCACATTCTACAGCACAAGGGAAGGAGACTGAGGATGGTTTATTTTTCCTTGTACAATCATGGGAATTTTTTTTCAGTTTTTGGCTTATGATGCTTGTCTGTGACTCTAGTCTTTCATTCCCTCTGGAAAAATGTTCTTTCTGAAGTCAGTGTCAGTTGTTTACACTTTGAAAAGTGGGCTCCCAACTGTGGAATTACAGAGATTAGCATTGTGATCACTGTAGCACAAAAGACACAATGTGATTAAAATCCTCCACTGAGGGGCCCAGAGAACTCAAGTGAACCAGCCTAGTGAAAATTAGGAAAACTTTTAAAAAGAGATCTCTTCAGCCCACATTACCAAGGACAAGAAGAGTCCCAGAAGGATATTTCAAGAAAAGTTTTCATTTTGGTTTTAAAAAAGACTCTCATCTCATTGTCAATTTTCTTTCATTGAAAGCCATGCCTGAACAAAGCTTAGCAACATTTCATGAAAAGTAGCTAGGACATAACAATAAAAAGGACTGTAAGCAGAGCACAAAGACTTAAACATGCAATTCTTACTCTGCAAGAGACTGTGTGTTGAAGTGGGTAAAGAGCCAATGTTTTATGGGGTTCTGGAGTAGATGGACTTACAAGGTGACCTGATAGTCCTATAGTGTGAAGGTTTTTGTTTTGTTTATTGTTCCTGTCATTATTCCAGTTCTACTTTGAGTTTGTCTTTGAAAAACAAAAAAGAAAAGGAAACAGAAAAAATATTTAGGGAAAATTTAAAGACTTTATGAGGCAGAAGATGGCCCTACCAGTATGTCTGGTCCTCCATCCTGTGATGCCCCTGTTCTTGCTTAATTCCTCAAAAAATTCTATTTTTAACTAGTGATCAAAATGCAAGTCCAGGTAGTGGAATTACCCAACTACTTCCCTTTACATCAATTTTTTTTGCTTCTTTTGAAAAGTGCCACATGATTTCTGACTTCCAGATATCATGGGAGACTCAGATAACCTTTTATTGTCCATTCCCTGACATTTATGAGTCTTGTCATCTTGTTGGGGAACTGGGAAAGTCACAGTTACACAGTAGAAAGCTGTCTGTTCCTCTTTCTTACTCCTCTTCCAGATTTCAAAGTACCAAATTTAGTGGATGAAAAGTGCTTCCATCTCTTATGTAAGAAGTAATGCCCCAGAGTGAAATTATCACCTGGTTATAAACACAAGGAAACTAATTTTTGAATCTGTATGGTGAGATTTTTGACTCCAGGTTATTTTTTAAAGATTTGGATATAAAGAACAGTGGTGGTTTTGAAATCTCCTGTGCCAAAGGAAGTATAAGAGAAAAAGGAATGAAGGGAGAAATTTTTATAATTTCTTATTTCTTAATCTTATTTTATATCTGTACTATTTGGAACAGTTGAACAATATCTGTAAAAGCATTTATTGTATCATTATTCATTAAAGGGGCCAGGAAAGGACAAAAATGTGGAAGGACCATGCCTGTGAATGTTTCCAGTTTTCCATCTCTTTTGGAAATGATAATTTGGAGGAAGAAAGCACATTAGGGAATAATGCTTAGTGATTTAACCTGAAAAAAAATTTCGCATAATAAGAATAGGAAGGGAATTTAATTATTTTTCCATCATTCCTTCATGTGCTTTGTATGCCTGTTTATAGAAAAACTTGATTTTCTGAAAGTTCATTATTTGGTGGCGCTGAAGTTATTATTTATGTTGAGAAAACTGATAAAGCAATTAGGTGCATTTAAATCTTAACACCTTTGAACCCTAAATAAAACCAGGTTTGTAGTCATAGAAGCAAAATTCAGATTTTTTTCTAGTTGCTTAATTAAAAAAAGTCCTAAGAAAAGTAATTCAGGTGCAGATGATGTAGACCTGGTTGTATGGTTCCTGTAGATCGTCCCTTTCAAATGTGATTAAGTACATTTGGGATTTTACTTAATTTCGAGT